ACTGTGGTACTAGGAAAATAGACAGGAGACTATTAAAAAGAATTAACAGCAGGGTTCCACTTTAGGTAAAATATACAAAAAAGCTGACATTTTTTGGCCAAGGATGAAAAGGAACAGCCATGCAGGGGATGAGTATTCCAAGCAGAGGTGGAAGAGTCCACAGGCCAAATGAATGAGCAACAGATGGCAGCAGGGGTGAGGGTGGAGGGGAAAGACTGTACACGATCATGAAGGCTCTTACAGCTAAGAGATCAGGATGTTATTCTGTGTACAGAATTGTGTCAGAACCCCCCTGGTTAACAAGCAGAAATAGTGGCATGATCTATTCCTGTTCAGACAAAAAATATACCAGTCTAGCTGCTGGGTAGAGTGGCTAAAATTACAGCAGAGACATTACCTAGGCCTCTGCAGCCATAGTCAGGTGAGAGGCTGTCTGAAGCTACAATGATTAACATGCGCAGTGGAGACAGAAGGAAATACTCTCATCCCCTAAGCCCCCACCTGATTTAATCACCCATTCCAGGCAACAAGTTTCACCAATACAATTTGGTAATTCTCACTTCCATGGGAAGCAGCTAAAACACCAACATTCACTGAAACAGGGAGCAAAAGAGAAACAGATTTGGAAAAAAAAAAAAAGAGATGAGCCCGATTTGAGATCGATAGTACCTGTACTTCGACCAGGTAGGCGCACATATGCCAGACACGTCCAGACCAGGAGAAAACAATGACATCAACAGAAAGGTAAGGGCTAATATCCTGAAAGTGGAAAAGGTCATTTCAAAGGGAATCAAAAAAAGACAGGAGAGAAAGCACAAAAGGACCAGGGCAAAAGTCCCAAAGACACTGGTATTTAAGAACAGGAAGAAAAGGAGGCAATAAGGAAAAATCCTTAAAGGATGCAAGAGAGTAAACAGCGGATGGCGGTAACGGTTACGTCACTGGACTGCCACGCAGTTGGCTACAGTTCAAATATCTGACCTGGCAGCTTAAAATTCATGCCAGGAGCATGTGTGTGTGTGCCTAAGACCCCAAGAAAAGAATGGAAAGGAGAGGACTGTGGTGTGGCCATTCCCCTGGGGGATGATTTCTCGCTCGCTCTCTGTCTCGCCAATGAGTGCATGTACCCTATACCCAAAAAAAGAGATGCAAAAAATCAAGAAAGAGGGTGCTGCGCGGGCCCCGTAGTGCAGGGGTTAAATGTTGTGCACTGGGGGGTGGATCGCACATGGCTGACTACTGTTTGAATCTCAACCCCGGTATTTTGAAAAACATGCCAAGCACATGTGTATGTACCCCAAATCCTGGCTGGGTGGTGAAACGGAGGAAGGACTGTGGCATGATCACTTAGTGAGTTCTTTCTCTCTCTCTCTCCCTCCCTCCCTCTCTCTCTCTTTGGTAAAACAAAACAAAAGAACCAATGTAAGAAAAGGTATTATGGGGACCAGTAGTTAGCATAATGGCTACTGGACTCCCCTCCCATGCCGTCGACTGTGGTTAGAGTCCTGGACCCAGTGGTATAAACTCACGCCAGGCACGTGTGTGTGTGCCCATGATCCCAAGAGGAGAATGGAGGAGAAGGGATTGCGGCGTGGCCATCCCCCCATGGGGGATGATTTCTCGCTGTCTCTCTGGCAAGCATGTCCTATAGCAAAAACCTCTCTCTCTCTCTCTCTCTCTCTCTCTCTCTCAAAAAAAAAAAAAAAAGGTATTATGAAAGGAAAGTTAAGAAATAAAGTAATATGCTAGAAGTCAATACCTAAAAATTGATTTTTTAATTTTGGAAAAATTAAATGTACTTCTCATATATACATGACTAGAAGGATATGTTAATGGCTCTGAGTAGTAGAATCAAGAGTGATTTTAGTTTGTTTTCCTCACATTTTGTAATTTGCTTCAAGGCCCATGAGTTTTATCATTAAAGATGATAGGTCCAGCAACAGTAGTGCTGGACACTGCTGTCAGTAGGCTGAGGCCACATGGAGGGTCCAGGTTCAGTTCCCAGCCCACCCTAAAAGCCGGGTGCAGTGGGGTGCGTGTGTGGTCCCAGCCACTTAGGAAGCTGAGATAGGAGGATTGCAACCCAGCAAGACAAATTCCTGTCTAAAATACCACACATGCACACCAAAAATCAAACAATCAACAAGTAATAAGCCAGGGCCAGGCTGTGGCATGGTGGTTAAAGGGGCTGGATCCCACATGGTTGACTGTGTGGTCCAAGTCCCAAACCAGTAGCTTGGAAAACACACCTAGCACGAGTGTCTACATGCTCAAGATTTTTTTTTTTTGGAGAGGTTTTTCGCTATAGGGCGCGTCCGCTCGCCTGACAGAGAGAGACATAGAGACAGAAAGCGAGAAATCACCCCCCAGGGGGGATGGTCACGCCACAATCCCTTCTCCTCCATTCTCCTCTCGGGATCTTGGGCATGCACGCACACGCGCCCGGCTTGAGCTTTAGGCCACCGGGTCCGGGACGCAAACCGTGGTCGACTACGTGGGAGTCCAGCAACATAGCCATTACGCTAACTGCTGGTTCCCTACATGCTCAAGATTTTGAGAGTGAAGAGGGGACTGCAGCACGGTCATCCTCCCAGAAGGTGCTGTCTTACCTCTCTCCCCTCTCTCTCCAGTGAGCACACATGTCCTATAGCAGATTTAAAATAAAGGGACCAGCAGTTGGCATAATGGCTACGTCACTGGACTCCCATGTAGTCAACTCCTGGATCCCGTGGCTTAAACTCACGCTGGGTACGTGGGCATGCGTGCCCAAGATCCCGAGAGGAGAATGAAGGAGAAGGGATTGTGGCGTGGCTATCCCCCCTGGGGGTGATTTCTTGCTTTCTGTCTCTGTCTCTGGTGAGCGCACATGCCCTATAGCAAAAACCTCTCCAAAATAAATAAATAAATAAGACAGGTAACAGTGGCCTTTGCCAGTGGTATGAATGCAGTGGATGGAAGAGTGAAAACCATGAAGAACTGAAGGAGAGAGAAATTTGTACAGGGAAGTTATAGCAAATACCGAGTCCAGAGACAGGTTTTGTTTTAAAGTGGAAAAGAGCTGGGCATGCTCACAGGCTGCGGGACAGAAGACTGTATAGAAAGAATGTTCATGGTCCAGAAGAATGAGGGAGCTGACCACACAACAAAATAAAGTTCTGCTCTCATGCAGATCAACTTCTACGAAGGAAACAGAATAAAGAAGTAATCATATCAGAGAAGCAAGACATGCCATGGGTAAAACTCAAATAGGGTAATGGTTTTTTGGATTGAGGGCTGAGAGGTTAAGCCTTCTCTCAAGAGATAACACTTGAATGCTGAATGACAAGAAGCCAGCCTTACAAAGACAAGCAGGAAAGGCCTTGTCACCTCTGCTTTACAGATAGTGACACTGAGGATCAAAAAGGCTAGGTAACATATCTAAGAGTATGCGGTAACTAAATGGAAGCCAGGTCTGGGCACTAGATCAATCTCTTTTCTACTAGACTGTGTTCCCTCCATCTTCAGTTTCCCTCAAATCCAAGAGTAAAGATGAGATGTTAAGGACTAGAAAATTAAGGATAATCAGCACAATGTTCTCAAAAGAAACTTCTCTGAAAGCCAAGATAAACAGTCCTGTGAAAGCAGGGGCATGGTTTCTGAAGATTACCTGCTCAGGTCTAATAAGAAAACACAGGCAGGCTTCCAAGTTACAAGGATTTATAACTACGTTGTTGGGAAGTCATAAAACACTTCATATAACTTTATGCAGTGATCAGGTTTCCATGAAGGCCCACATAATCACAGCCATTACTATAACAGTTACTAAGAAAGCACTTTCCACTACCAGGCCCTGTACTAAGCTCTTTCTATAAACAAACTCTTAACAACACTATTACTACTCCCATCTTAATGGCTAGGGAAATTGGATCTGGAGATATTTAGTAACTTATCCGATGGCAAAATGCAAATAAATTGAGGCGCCTGCAGTCTAGCCTCCACCTACTCCAGCTCCCTAGCATTTAGTCCTTAAGTTAGCCCCCAAAGCACCTATTGGGGGGGGGGGGTGTCTTCAAAAAGTTCATGGAAAATGCATGTTTCGAAAAACTTGTGTGGATTTCAAAAGTTTTTGTACCAAAAATAAACTTGTACTTAAATTCCATTTTTGCATGAACTTTCTATTTGTAAGCACTAGTATATCAAAACCACTTTTCTCCAATGCTAAACCCCCCCCCTTCTCAGGTGATCGTACTACTACTCAAGTTAACTTTCTTTGATCAACTTTAACTCCTCAAAAAATCTATACTAAACCTATTTCCTGACAAATCTCAACCATGAGGGCATTTATTCACACATCTGACACACCCAAGGGGAATTTAACTCGCCTCTGCATCCCCAGATCCCAACTGTGCTTCGCATGTGTACTCTTAGGCATTAGATGACAGATCCACGTGCCAACTCCCGTCCACAAATACTAAAGGAGAACTCCATTCAAGAAAATGTAGGCAAAAAAACCAAACTGATCATAATCAAATGCTCAACCCTAAAGCGTTCCTTGCTCACCCCCAAACCCCAATCCTTCTCCTTTGCCCACCAAAAAATTTTAAAAAATCAAAAGTCTCTATATCTAAATACTAAAGGTTACTGATCACCAAAGTGATCCCACGAGAGTAAGTACCCCAGCTGACCAGTCGTAAGGAGGGAGACACCACGCAATCCCCCCCAGCAGCGTCCAAGGCGCGCCCTCCATCGAGCTGGCTGTCGGTAGCCCAAGGGCAAGACCCACTCCAAGGGAACAAGGGCTGCTGCATTCGAGTCGAAGAAAGCCATGCCCGTGGCCATGACCTTCTGAACGCGCTGAGCCCAGTCACCCGAAAACCTCCGGCTAGGAGGGTGGTCCAAAGCCCCGGATGCTCGGTCCTGGAACAGTGAAGAGTGTGGAGGGCTCAGAGGTGGGACCAGGCCCCACACTCCCGGAGGACCCCGGCGCTGCAGCCTGCAGGACGAAGGGCCTGGGCACTCACCCGGCGGCGGGCCCCGCGCGAGCGGTGGGCAGGCAGGGAGCGGCGTGCGGCCTGCCCGGGCAGCCAGCGAGGAGGCGCAGGGAGAGCGGGAGGCGCCCGGCCGCCCCGGCGCGGAGCAACCACCGGGCGGATCTCAGAAGGGCTGCCATGGCTGGGTCGTCCCCACTGCAGAACGCACGTTCCGCCAGAAGGACAGGAGGGGCACGTGACCGCGAGGTCGCCCGGTGCGGGAGAGACCAACGTCCTTGGTGCGCCAAGTGTAGGGGGAGGCCGCCGCTGTCTTCTGCAGCAATGTGGAAAAGCCTACTTCCCAGGAAAGCGTGACAGCCACACTATATTTATAAACAGCAATAGTGTTTGGTTTATTGTCTGACGGATTGTTCTTTCTGTTTTACGCTCCTCGCCTCAGCATGTTCACTCATTGAACCCCTTCCCTTTTTCGTTGGTAGAGTCGCCAGAGGTCGACTCCTCCCAGGTTGGCGCAGGGGCTTGCGGGGGACCAACCGGTAAGAAACCCGGGAACTCTCGCGAAGGGCCGACTCTGAAGATCCCGGGGTGTGGACCGAGCCTCCAGAGGGCGGGTGTTGCCTGGGACGTTCAGAGACTCCTGCTCAGCCCTGCACTTCTGGCTGCGGTCCCGGCTGGGATCGTGCCGCAGCTGTCAGAGCAGCGGGCGACGGAAAGCGTTAAGGACCTTTGCACTAGGCTACAGGGCTCCAACGCTCAACGTGATCCGATTGTGTAACAGGGGCCCGCGGACGGCGCAAAGGAACACGCAGGTCCATCTCGCGGTGTCTACGCAGTACTCGCTTTATGAAATAGGATTCTGACCAACGTCCAGTAGTTTTACAGCTGGAACTGAACTCATTGTCTTTCTCAACTCTTCACCTCTACCCCGTCCTCTCTTGAGTAAATGCACCCCATGAAGGTAAAACAACAATCAAGAGTCTGTAGCCCACTAGGCAAGTTAAACGCGCCCCTCCTTCCCTGGCCTTAGGAGGGAGGAATCCCTTATGAACACGTGGAAGGCCAGGAACAGGCAACCCACTACCTTTTGACCTCGCTGTCGCCCTTCCATCCCCATGCAAACAGGTAGTAGCACTGCCCTGGTAATTCCCTATTGGGCTGTTTGTCCCACTAGACAGTGAAATCCTCGAGAGCAGCGACTTGATCGTTTATTGCAGGAAAGCACCCTATCCAGTGCCAGGCACAGTTGGTTGCATTAAATACGTAGTTAATTAATACGTATTTTGAGGATACCTAGCTCACCTCTCCTTTGACACATGAGGGACTGAGACTCCCACAAAAAAGTTAACGATTTATTCTGTGTTATACTACTGGGGATTAAGTATCTAATTTATTTATTCACTCACTTAGCATTTATTTATTGAATACATAGTCAATACCAAGCAGTGCTGGAGATCCTGGTGACACAGCAGAGAACAAACAGACTAAGCCTGTGATGAAAGCTGTCTGGGACCATGGGGCGGCTTTGTGGTTAAGGGACTGGGATCCCAAATGGCCAACAGCAGCCTTAGAATCCTGCCCAAGGACTAGCAGGACAGACAAGTGCATGCGCATGTGTGCCAAAGTCCAGACAGGGGTGGAGGCACAGAAAAGGCATTGTTGCAATGACCGCATCCCATTGGAGGATGCTCTTTCCTCTTCCTCTCTTTCTGTCTCTGTCTCTGTCTCTCTCTGGCCAGTGCAGATCCCCTCTGGCAAAATAAGAACACGGGGAATGAGGATGGTTCTGTGAGTTGCTATTTTAGATAGGATGGCTCAGGAAATAAAGTCAACCTAACGAGTTCACACTTGGAGACCAGCTGGCACTACAGCAGAAAACTGCCACCCAGTGAGGCTGACCCTATTTAGACAGGTTCCTGGTTCAAGTTGGGGGACCTCCTTGAGTAGGCTGACTTGATCTAGGGCTGGATGGGCCTGAATTGGGGTGTCAAGGCCTAGGTGCTCTCTCTCTCATAAAATAAATAAATTTAAAAGGTTTCCATTAGAGAGCTAGCCCCTTAGCACAGTAAACTGCTCTGCGTTGGGAGCTGGATCCTGCATGACCCACCGCCACCAGACTCCTGGCCCCAGCAGCTTGAAAAAAACACACCAGGCAAGTGTGCCTATGTGCGCTAAATCCTGAAAAGTTGGAGAAGGTTTGTAGAATGGCCACACCCTATGGGGGGGGTGCTTTCTCTCTCTGTCTTTTTCTTTCTTTTCCCTACCCTGTCTGTCTCTGGTGAGCATTTTTAAAAATTATTTTATTTAACTAACTTTCTTTCTTTCTTTCTTTCTTTCTTTCTTTCTTTCTTTCTTTCTTTCTTTCTTTCCTTTCTTTATTGTAATTCAACCAGAGAGAGACAGAGTGACAGAGAGAGAAAGAGAAAGTGAGAAAATAAGCCACCAGGTCCAAGACTCAACTGTGGTCGGCCATGTTGGAGGCCAGCGCCCTTAACCACCATGACACCTGCCAGCCCCAGTGAGCATTTTTCTAACAATGAAAAAACAATTTTTTAAAGCTACCATTTGAACAGAGACCTAGGAAGGGAAGAGGCCAGGAAGGTTTTCTGAATATACAAACAAACAAAAAACTCCAGGCTGAGAGACCCACCAACAGCAGAAGCCCTAAGGCAGGGACAGGTGCTACTCATCAGAGAACTGAAAGGACAACTCTATGGATGAGAGGAATGAGCATGAAGGTCAGAGGGGTGGTTGGGGCCAGAACATACAGAGTGTTGTAGAGGCCTGGTCATAAGGACTTTGACTTTTTTTTTTTTTTTAGAATTACTGGATCATCAGGAAAGTCATGACACATTTTTTTCATAGAAAAATACATCATAACTTTTCTAATGACCTAATATTTATTTCATTTTATTTACCTTTTTTTTTTTTTTTTAAATTTGCTACAGGGCACATGTGCTCATCAGAGGGGAGTGGGAGAGAGAGAGAGAGAAAGTGAGAAAGCAAGTCACCAGGTCTGGGACTCAAAGCTTGGTCACCATATGGGAGTCCAGTACCTTAACCACCATGCCACTTGCTGGCCTCAACTTTTTTTAAAAAATTTATTACTTTATTTCTTCCATGAGTGCAAGCTAAGAAGAACAGAGAAACAGCACTTCAACAAGGTCCTGACACTGCCATCCACTCCCCTCCTCAGCTAGTGCCACGTCATGGGCACCGGGGTGCCTGACATATACTCAGGGAAGTTTCCAGGTGTGAAGCAGCACCTTCTCATGTGATCACATTTTACCTCTGAGCCACCCTTCAGCTCCAGCTTTGACTTTTATTCAAAGAGATGAGGAAACCATTGAAAAGTTTGGTGTGTTGCTGTGGTAAGAATCCATCTGCATATTTTTCATCATAATAAAAAAAATCTATTTATAGATACAGGTGAAATAAGGATTATCTTCTGGAATCTTAAACTTGTGCCTGAAAGACATGTCAAGTTTGAGTAAGGGTTGGCTATATGACATGTGAGTCTAGACTTAGGCAAAAAGTCAGGGCTTGAGATTCATTTGGTAATCTGTAACCTGTACCTAATATTTGAAGCCCCAGAAATGGATGAAAGCACCTAGGAAGAAAACGTAGATAGACAAGAAAAAGGTGAAGTCCAAGGACAGAGCTTATGACCTTTCATCATCAAGAAGATGCGTAAATGAAATCCAGCAAAGGAAACTAACAAAGAATAGCCAGAGAGGCAGGAGGAGAACCACGAGGGGTCTTAAATAAGTGAAGGAAGCCCTTTGAGGAGGAAATGATTAAGCACATGAAACGTTGCTAATAGTTCTAGTAAAATGAGCACTCAACACCAACATAGAATCTGGCAATTCAGAGGTCTCTGGTGATCCTAAAGCAAGTCATATTGGTGACAAAAGATTGACTGGAGCGAGTTTAAGAATACATGAAGAAGGGCTAGCAGGTGGCATGGTGGCTAAGGCACTGGATACCTATATGACCAGTGACTGCTGTTCGTAGTCCTGGACCAGGTGGCTTGGAAATCACAACAAATAAATAAGTGTCAATTTATTTATTGAAGAAGGGGAAGTGAAGACAAACCTTTTGTAGAATATGAGACTTCATAAAGATCATGGATACTTATGGCCACACTTCTTATAAAGTTATACTTGATGAGCTTAGTTATGGGGGAGGGTAAAACACCTATTGGACACAGATAAGTATTTCCTAAGGCAATGCCGTGAGTGCAAAAAGGAAGAGGCAAACCAAATGATAGTTGGGTGGGAGAAGAGAAGGTCCCATGGTGGAAATGGCATTTCAGACCTTGGAGGCTGGGGAAGATGAAAACGGGAGATCTGGTGGCAAGGGACGTTCTAGGAAAAGGGAACCACAAAAGCAAAGAGATAGAGCTCTCCTCCTGGCACTGCACAGCCCTCCTTCTGCAGCAGAAAGTGTTTGGAGACACTCCTAGAAGTATCAGGAGCTACCCAGAGCTTACCAGGTAAAGGACAGGATCGTTAACCCAGTGACTCTCAAGCTTCTGTGACTGAGACCACTTGTAAAAAATACATTTTATAGATGACACAAATATACACATACAAAAAGCAGTTTCACAAAACTTCATGGCATGGCCTTGGATATTTGCTAGTCCATTTTCTTCTGTTTCATTTTTACAAAATATTGATTCATTCAAATATGAATAAAACAAATATAAGAAAACTTTTTAAAAAATATGTCAGAGGGTATGCACACTTGCCAGAGAGAGAGAGAGAAGGTAGAGGGTGAGAGCAATCCCCATCAGGGCATGAATATGCTACAATCCCTTCTCCTCTATTTCTACATCCTATCAAAATTTTGAAGCACACACACTCACATGAGTTGGCATGTTTTTCAAGCTACCGGAGCCAAGATTGAAACTGTGCAGTTGGCCATGTGGGATGTGGTTCACTTAACCACAAGGCTGCAGGGCTGGTCCTATAAGAAGACTTTTTTTTTTCCAAGAAGAATTATTCATTTAATTTTATTTATCATTGTTTTTTAAAGAATTATTTTATTTTTTAAACATTTATTTATTTATTTAAATTTGACCAGAGAGGGACAGACAGAGTAAGAGAGAGAGAAAGTGAGAAAGCAAACCACCAGGTCCAAGACTTGAACCACGGTCAGCCATGTGGGAGTCTAGCACCTTTAATCACCACACCACCTGCTGGCCCCTTATTTATCATCATTA